CTAGAAACTCACAAGTTCCATGTGTGAATGGCTCTCATCTCTGTGAGTCCAGTGTAATCTGGATGGTCATACTTGATTGTCTGTCATGCTCTAGAGATCTGACTAGTCCCTCTTAGTATCCATCCTGTCTAGTCTTTTTTTTTTAATCATGTGGCAAAATAATTTACCATAGTATGTTTTTTTTAACAAGGATAATTTTTATAATATTTTTAATTTGTCCTTTGACAGTTTCATACATGTATGCCACGTATCTTGGTCATATCTACACCAGTCCTCCTCTCCTACCTGCTCTGCCTGGATTCCCTAACACTCCCCCACCTAACTTCATTTCTTTTACTTTTTTCCTCCTCATCGTCCTGTTCTTTCTTCTTCTTTTTTCTCCTCTTTTTTTCCCTTCTTTTTTGAAATAACCTCTGAGTCCAGTTAGTGCTGTTGGCATGAGCATGGGTGTGAAGCCATCCACTAGAACATTGGCAGCTTAACACCAGCTAAACCCCTGAAGAACAATGACTTTACTTCCCCCACATTTGTCAGTTGCAAATAACTCCTTAGCTAGGGGTGGAGCCTCATGAGCCCCTCCCCAGTCTATACTGGAATGTTGACTTCTTTGGTTTTGTGCAGGTAACCATAGCTCCTGTGAATTCATGAGTGCTGTGGTCATGCCATGTCCAGAAGACAGCATCATTTCACAGCACTCTCCATCCTCCAGCTCTTGCATTCTTTCTACCTTCCTCTTCTGCAGTACCTGAGCCTTTGCAGGGTTGCTGTGTATGTCCTCTTTCGAGCTGAGCACTCAACAGTCACTCCCAGCACTGTGACCAGTTGTGAGTCTCACATTGATGCCACTCACTACATTAAGAAGCTTCTCTGACCAAGGGTGAGAGCAGCAGTAATTTATTGATGTTAACAGATATTAGAAGGTAGTTTGACTACATGTTCATCTAGCGAAACAATAGTAATAGGTTCTGCCCTGTGACCTCTACAGCCATCGGCTTTTGACCAGATTTATTGTACCAGGCATGAATTCTCCTCTGTGGAACAGGCCTTGATTCCAATTAGAAGGCTGTTAGCCACCCCATAACTGTCAGGCACTGCTTCAGTGGGCACATCGTTCCTGACAGGTCAGTATGTTGGTATGCAGTGCCTGCCCATGGATTAAGTCCACTGATTAAAGTTAAACCCTAGTAAGCCTATCTACCAGCAGGGAAGACCTTTCCAGGTTAGCTCCAGCTTGTTTTTTGTTTTTTGCTTTTTTTTTTTGTCCTGCAACCAAAGTGTAGTGTGTCTTCAACAATAGGATCTTGCCATCAGTTATAGTGTGGAAGCAAAAATAATGGTAATTAATAGCCTGTATTGTTTGGGGAACCTGTGCAGCCACCCTAACTCACAGGGAGATATCCCATACCTGCCACTGAGATTTTTATTTAGTAACTCATTTCTTCTTAAGGAAACATTACCTTCTGTCTCAGTTAGGGTTTCTGTTGCTGTGAATAAACACCCATGACTTTGGGAACTCTTATAAAGGAAAAACATTTAATTGTATTGCTTATATTTTCAGAGGTTTAGTTCATTATCATCATGGTGAGACATAGTGGTGTTCAGACAGATGTGGTGCTGGAAATGGAGCTGAGATCCTACATTTTGACTTGGAGGCAACAGAAAGTGGTCTGTCTCACTGGGTGTGGCATGAATATATATGAGACGTCAAAGCTGGCCTCTTTAGTGACACATGTCCTCCAACAACACCACACCTCCTAAGAGTGCTCTGCCTTTGGGGGACCATTTTCTTTCAAACTACCATATCTATCCACATACAATATCTCCATCTAAACTCATACCCCCCCCCCACATGTTTACAAATTAGTGGGCTTCCATATTGCTTTTTAATGCATCCTTTGTTTTGGTTAATCCTTGTAAGTGGAGACTGCTCTTTTCAGAAACTGTATTAGTTAGAACACTGTTTGGCCTATTAGCTCTACCTTCTTATTAACTAACTCTTACATCTTAAATTAACCCATTTCTTTTAATCTGTGTATTGCCATGAGGTAGTGGCTTACCGGAAAGGTTCCTGGTCCTTCTCCTTTGGCAGCTACATGCTGTCTCTCTAATTCTGCCTACTCTCTCAATATATCTCTTCCAGCCTGGTTATATTCTGCCGTGCTGTAGGCTGAAACAGCTTCTTTATTAAGTAATGGTAATAAAACATATTTGTAGCACACAGAGAGGAATCCCACATCATCTTCCCTTTTCTGTCTAAATAAAAAGGAAAGTTCTTGTTTTAACATAGTAAAATTGCATATAACAAAACAGGTATCAAACAAGAATTACAGCTAAAATATTTTTTGTGAGTCTAAGGTTTCACATAATTTATCTTTTATCATAAATAAGGAAAACTATAACTATTTAGCCTTCAACTCCATCAAAGACCCCAGAAGGATATAATATTATCCAAATAAACAGGAATTGCATTGTAAGCATCTTCCAAAGCTCTAGAATTGACAGAAATATCTAGCTACCTGGACAGTCACCCAAAGTTCTTCTGTAATGTTAGGGCAACAATCCTATAGGTCTATAGTATCTGGAAGACTTTTCCATGAAGCAGGAAATTTGGAAATCTGTTCTGTCTTGTAATAGCAAAGTTCATCAGTTGCTTTCTTCTATGTTCTGTAGAATGTCTGACAGACTCTTTTATGAAGCAGGAACCCTGGAGGATTGTCTCACCTTCTTTAGACAAGTTAAGCAGTCATTTTTTTCTGTGTATTGTGGGTGTGTACGCTAAGAGGATACAGTATTGACCTCCATAAACATACCTGTTGTAGCACCTCAGGGAATCAAGGGAGTGTCCACGGAAGGACATATCAACAACTAAAGACGATGAGTAGTTACTGAGATGCATGAGTGGAGGGAGGCTGCATGAGTGGACTAGCAAGACCACTGGAAAGGATGAGAACGTCATTTGGAAATGAAGGACACTTTGTAGTATGCTTTGGGAATTGAGGGTAATTAGCTATTGAGAAGTGTCAGAGAAGGGGGGGAGGCTTGAGAAAAGAGGTTGAAGAAGAAACTGGATTCTATCTGTGGCATCATAAGCTATTTGAAGATTCTCCTCTTACTTTGAGCCATTATCCTTTTCATTTTCCCCTGTGAAGCCTTAGCCTTTCATTTCAAACTCTTAACTTCCTACTTTACAGTCTATCCTAAGACTTTGCTACCCTCGGAAAATCTCCAAGTGTGTTGCTTATTCCCTCAGAAGTGCAGCTATTTTCATGTTTACTACTTGTTTGATGGGTTTTTCTCTGTTTTTGTCTTAATTCTTGTTAGTTTTTCACTGGTAAGATATTTTTCATCAGCATGTAGTCATCGGTGGGTAAATTATACTAATTTACTGATGTGTGAGATTTAAATTCTTAAAATTAAGAATTTAAATTCTTAAAATTAAAAATGTATGAAAAATATACATAATCATGGCATCAAATAAGATATTATTTATACTACTGTAATCCAGGTTCTTGGCAGGCAGAGGCAGGTGGATCTCAGTGAATTCAAGACAAGACTGGTCTACAAAGTGAATTCAAGGACAGCCAGGACTATTACCCTGTTTGAAAGAAACAAAACAATATATATTATTTATGAATGGTTTAACAATTCATGAAGAATTTTGCGTTGGATTTGGAGAACATCAGCCCTGAAATTTGAATTTGTAGTTACAGAGAAAAGCAATCTTGTAAAAAATGTCCTACAATAAATATGGCAAGTTCTGAGTTCTGGGAATGTTTGTTGAAAAATAGAAGCTTAAGTAGATACCCTGTTTTTCTCTTCATGGTAATTGAATCCAACATACTTATTTTTACATATTTAATACACAGAATTTAGCTTCATTTCTAATATGTGACAATGGCCATCATATTGGGCAAGTAATTTCTAAATGCATTATGTTAAATATGTAGATTTCGTGTGCTTGTTATACTTCAGTAACTGTCTGGAATCATGTGCAATGTGGATATAGTAACTTTTAAGCTATCAATTTTAGTTAATACATTATATTTTACATTCTCATAAAATAGATTATCCTTAGTTTTTCTCTAATTTTGCATGGATATTATGGGATGAAACTGAAGAGATATATAACGTTTTATATTTTAGTTTTTGAGGTGGGTTTTGCTTTGTAGCCCAAGCAGACCTTGTTTTCCCATTCATCTTTCTCAGGGCCGTGATTGCACATGCAGATGTCTACACCACATCTGGCTTCAAGCTTTAGAGCTAGACAGATTTTCCTGCAGCTCACGCTGACCTTGAATTTAACCTTGAACTCATAATCCTCTGGTCTTTATCTCCTGAGTGTTTGGATTATAGGACTGTGCCAGTTTATATGGTGATGAGAATCAAGCCCAGGGTCTTGTGCTTGCTGGGCAAGTACTCTCTCTATTCATGGCTCAAAGTAGATTTTGATTTTTTTAAATTGTAGTTTGAGATTAGAAAATGCCTGACTCTTGTAAAACCTTGCTTAAACTTTTACTAGTAAAGATTATTTTTTGGCAGTATTAGAAATAACTTCATCAGCTTTAACTGGTGGAGCACTGAAGAGATGATAGTTTAAGAGTGTGTTTACTTTGGGAGCTCACGTGGCTTCATGACTTAGCTGTGGATCTAGAACAGTATGCCGTTTAAGATGCCACCCCAAATCAGAAGAGGAGACCATTACAGAAAAAGGTGAGTGTAGTTCTAATAGCTAGAGCCTTGCTAAGAGTATTTTCTTTTTCTTTTGGCTCTTAAGGAAGCTTATTCAGCCAGTGTGTGAAATACATGGAGTGGGATTAGGTAATCATAGAAGATAACAGTTTTACTAACAGCTAAAGGGATTGTATTTTTCACCTGGGACTGAGATGAGTACAAAGGCATTGTGGAACTGATTTGTAAAAATTGCTACAATAATGTTGTACCTTTCCTTTTCTTTCTTCTTATATTGTATATCTTTTCTTCCCTTCTTCCCACCCTTCCAGAGGCTCTCCTTATAGAGAATCCCCTTTGGGTCATTTTGAAAGCTATGGAGGAACCCCCTTTTTCCAGGCTCAGAAGATGTTTGTAGATGTGCCAGACAACACAGTGATACTGGATGAGATGACCCTCCGACACATGGTCCAGGACTGCACAGCTGTAAAAACACAGTTACTCAAACTCAAGCGTCTGTTGCATCAGGTGAGTGTGTAATGATTATTCCAGCTTCTCCTTTGTAACTTGAACAGATTGGCTTTCTAAAAAAGTTACTTGTGTTTCTTACATGTTCAGTTTCGGGCAGAAACAAAACCTATAAATAGTACATGCTTTGAGTTCATCTCTAATACCTATGATGAAAGACAAAAAACATAGAACTCTTGTTAGACAGGAAAGGAAAGCTTAACATAGACAATACTTCTATTGTAAGATTGCTGAAAGATTAGAATTGTAGTGGTTAGTTGAACAGTCTGTTATCAGAAATATACTGGCCATTCAGTAACTAATGTAATTTCTACTTAATGGCAAACAGGGTTAATTTGATTTGTGTTTGAGACATTGAGTACCTGTTTTCTTTAGAGAGTCTAAACCCATAGTAGCAGTAGGACTTGAATAAAGTCACAGGATACACTGATGGAAAGTCTCAGATTGTGATGGAGCAACATATGAAAGAGAAAAAGACAAGATCTCCTGAGTAAAGTGGGAGTGTGTGGTTCACGGGAGAGGGTAGAAGCAGAGAGGAGAGGAAGGAAGGGGAGTGGAGAAAAATGTATAGTGAAACAAAAAACAATAAAAAAATAAAAGAATACCTTCTTTGTGTGAATATTTAGTGTTAACAGATAAAAAAGAAATAGAATACCAATTTTAAACTATAGATAGCTTTTATGTGGCGTTAAATCTATTTTTTTTTTTTCATTTGATAGTCAAAGCAAATTTAGAAACCTTAGTTGAAAAAGAACAGCCTGATTTCTCAGTCTGCTGTCTGGGTTGCCGTTCTCAGGATGCCTTTACATCATATTGACCAGGATCCAAGTCTTGGAATTCCTGTAGCCACCAAAACCAAACTTATCTGTCTGCTCAATAAAGGCTAGCTGAAAGTAAAGCTTGGCTCCTAACAGCTGACTCTGAGAGTAACAGTTTTTAGAAATGTATATTGTTTCATAGTTTTTGGTTCTGGTTTTTCTGAACTACTGCGGCTATTCAATATCTGTAGAAGCTTTTGTGTGCTAAGCCTGGGGAAAAGAGGGTAGAGAGTATCCTTTTAGAATCTGTGATGCTTGAACTCATCCTAAGCATGCAAGGATGGGATGGTGGAAATGTTCAGAAATAAAGATTTTGACTTAGATAAACTGTAACTAACGGATAGGCTTTGCTTCATAGGGTTTCTCTGCTGTCTGGTCTGGGAGGAAGGTTTTCTGGTCATGAGCTTTAGTTCCAATGGTACAATGTGGTAGAAAGGATAAGACATAGCTAAAGTACACTAAATACCTTCTGTGAGAAAGTCATTGCTTTAGGGTATATTCCCCAATGATAAAGCATTATTAAATATCAGCTGATAAGACCAGGTCATAATGATCTGTTCCATCAATAATGAAGTGAGGGTGATAACTGAGTAAAGAGGTAATGAGTGTCCTAGGGAATGAAGAACTTAATGTATGTGAGGCTGTGAAGCCCTGAGAACTTCTTTTCTCTCCCTTGAGTCTCCAAATGTTAGGGTGTTCACATTGACCACATGGATTGGTTGTTTATGTAGTGAAACCAAAATTGTGAGGTTAAAATTGCTGAATACATTTTGGATATCTTTAGAGATATCTAGTTGCAAGATAAATTAAAAACCGGCATCTACGATTTTATTTAACTGTCTCTTACATTTTTCCTTTAATTCAAAATTGCTTATTATTGTATTTGTATGAGTACCATGTATATAACCGTGTGACTGCGGGTGGTGTGAGTGTGCGACGATGTCTCTGTGCCGGTCAGAGGGTCAGGAGTTGGCTCTGTCCTTATCACCATGGTTCCAGGGCTCAAACTAAGATCATCTTTACTTCCTGAGTCAGCTTGCTGCTGCCCCCCTTTTAATTTTACTAAAATAACAGACCTGAGTCAGTCTGTTGTATGAACAAGCTACTGACCAGAGTTTCTGTAGTTCTATTATGTATGACTTTGTTTTGCCATAGTCTGAAGCTGTATCTACTATTTCCTGTATGGTGCATGCTCTTTTGCTTGATACATGCCCTCAGTTTGCTGGAGTATATCCTTAATTTATTTCCTAACAGAAGATGACTACACATTTTTAATTACTTCATAAAGAAAAAATCTTTTTATTCTGTACTCATATTTGATTGATAGTTTATAACTTTGAAAAACTTGGCTAAAGTCAAAGAAAGAAAAAATAGAAGATGTTGCTTTTCTAAGATCTTGTTTTAGCTTTTCTGGAGTATACTACAGTCTGACCCGTTTTCATTGTATTTTGTCTTTTTTTAAATCTGACTGTGTGTTGGTGGTGCACACTTCAATCCCTGTATTCGGGAAGCAGAGGCAGGCAGATCTCTGAGTTTGAGGTCAGCCTGGTCTACATAATAAATTCCAGGATAGCTAGGGTTACACAGAGAAACACTGTCTCAAATAACCAAAAAAAAAAAAAATCTGTTCTGTTGACTGAGGTTTTCTGTCCTGCCCTGTCCTTGTTCTGCCTAATTCCTGCAGTTGTCAAGTCCCAAAGAAATCACACAGAGGTCTACATTAGTTATAAACTGATTGGCCCATTAGCTCAGACTTCTTATTAACTCTTAGTGCTTATATTAGCCAATTATTCTTATAATCTTAGCCACATGGCTCAGTACCTTTTTCAGTGAGGCAGTCACATCTTGCTTCTTCTGTGGCAGACTTATAACTGCAGGAAAAGCTTCCTTCTTCCCAGAATACTCCTGTTCTCATTGACCCACCTCTACTTCCTGTCTGGTTGTCCTGCCTATACTTCCTGCCTGGCTACTGACCAATCAGCATTTATTTAAAATATAATTGACAGAATATAGACGATTGTCCCACACCAAAAGATTGAAGATCTTTTAATTTCGACATGCTGTGGCTGTGGTTTCAATGTGATTTTCAGTGTCAATTTGTTATAATTGGTTTTCATTTCATGTCTCAGCAGTTACTGTTTTTTTTTTTTAATGATTTCTTTTGGAATTCATACAGTGTGACAAGTTATGACAGTAGTTATTTTCTCTTGTGTTTCTGGAATTATTAGTAATCAGAAACTTGGACTTCCAAATAAAATCTCATCATCTTTTATTTTGTTGACATTACCATTTTGGGGAAATATACTATGCTTTTTGGTGTATTTATCTAATTTATATTCCAGTTCTGTTTTTATTCAGCTGCTTGCAGTATTTCAGTTTCTCAAACTTTATTGTATACAGTTCCTTGTTCATACAAACTAGTCATTGCCTTTTCAAGAAGCTTACTAAGTAAAGAGCTTTCTGGCCCTCATTATTAATAATTCTGAGGGTATTTTTTATTATGTCTTTTTAAAAGGATCAGTTTTTCTTTATTTTTTCTTGTCTTTCTAATCTTTAAATATATTATGATTACTTATTATTTATTAGTATTTCAGAGTGAGAAATTAAGAGTTGACTTTGGACTCTGTACATAGGCCAGACATGCTAATTATCTGGTCTTCATTTTAAGGCGTTGGGTGGATGGGCTCCAGTGGTCCTCAGCTACAGACAAAGGGGTTTTCTTTCTAAGGTGCCTATAGCATCTCCATGAAGAAGAAACCTCTGGTTTTTGCTTAGGAAAAGAAAAAAAGATTTCTATCAATTATTTTTGTGACTATAACAGCTTCCTTGCAGATTGTAGAGCATCATGATAGGGAAGGCATAGTGGAGCAGTTCAGTTCTAGGCAGCAGATTGTGTGCCAGAGGTTTCTCTCATGATAGGTTAGTGCCAGAACCAGGGACACGCTAACCTTCTGAGGCCCACCTGTCACTGGCTTCCACTACTTAGTCCCCACTCCTAAAAGTTATACCCTCCGTTAAAATAAGCCACAGATGGAGAATGTGATCTGATTGCAAATATGAATCTGTGGGAGGTATTTTGGAGCCAGTCTGTAACATCTAGACATTTTATTTTATTTATTATGCAGAATTTTATTAAGTTTTAGTGTTCGTATATCCTTTTGGTGTGGGGAGGCAGGCAGGGTCTTTTTGTGTAGCTTTGGCTCTCCTGAAACTCCACATTCAGGCCAAGGTGGCCTTGAACTCACAGAGATCTGCCTGCCTCTGCTTCCCAAGTGTGAAATACATAAGAGAACAGTAAGAGAGGAAAAAAAAACCCGCAAGAATAAGGAGGTTGGACATTCTTAAGAAAAATCGTGAACTCTCTTATTAGCTCTCTAAGCCGAAGGCTCAGAAAATAATTAGTGAGAACAAGCCAGGGATTTTGTTACTCACTGTCTTTGTTCCTGAGGCCCGATGCACATGTTCTAGGAAAGCTCTTTAGGGGCAGTGTGGAATGAAGGTGTGAAGGGAGCTCCCTGCTCCTGTGTACCATCCACCACTCCCACCCTACTGACCAGCTCTTGGAATTTCTTTTGTTAAAGTCCTGTTTATGAGTTTGAATAAAGTCCTTCCTGTATAAATGTTTAAAATTGGTAACTGGTGTATTTGGCCTTTAACCTGCTTTTATTTGTTGTTTTGCACAGCTGAGGGTTACTTTATAGTTTAAATAGGAGTTTTGTACATCTCATTCTTCAACTCTTACAGTTGTGTGGGACAGGAAGGACAGTAGTTGTAATATCATCTTGATAGCCAGAAACGGAGACCTTGAGATTTGTCTCTCGGTCACTGTATGTGTGTGTGTATCTGTAGAGAGTGTATTGTTTAATGCTTTGCATTATTTTAGGTTGATATTCTGTTTTATTACATGGTTTATGAAATCTTTATGGTATTTTTAAACCCAGAATTTGGAGACTAAGGGACTATAATGAGAAAAAATTGCAGTGATGCCTTATGACCTTTAATTTCCTATAGCCTGCCACAAAAGCTTTTGGTTGGAGTGCAGTGCACATGCTGGATTGCTTATCTTACTGAGTTTTACACATGGAGTGTCTGTGTAGCCAGCATCCTTCTAGAAGCAGAGCACTAACAGGACAGGAGCTTGGCTGCAGCTTATTACTCTGTTCTTCTAGTGGGACCATTTAT